CCCAGTGAAAAGAGTAAAGGTTCTCTCATGGAGAGAAAATGTTCTTGAAAAAATTTTCAGAGATAAGATATTTTCCATTCCTGATTGAGGCTTGTGGCTGTTTACCTGTTAGACACTTGCAGGAAAACTGCCCCTAAGTTCTCCTTAGATCACTGTCCTTGAGTGATCTGTAGTCACTGAATTGTTGAATAGGAGGTCCCTGGCAGCATCTGCTTGCCTGTAAGACCATAGTTCGAGAGTCAGGCTGACTTCTTTTGCTGTAATGTCAGAAAACTTTGTACAACAGATCATACTATACTGCATAGAAATTAACTTACAGCAGGCATTGGAAGGCATTTTGGTCTTGGCAGAAAAAACAGAAGAACGTTTTCTTGGTCACTTGTACTAATCCCTTGTATTGTGAATGTTTTGTGGTCCTGGTAGCTTCTCAAATTACCGCGTGTTTGCAAACTTAATTACATTTTCATAGCATTGTGTATCTGTGTACATATTTGTCAAGAAAAAGGTAAAAATGATGTGAGCTGTCCTTGACACACACAAGTTTCAACCTTTAGAAAGCATCTGAATAAGACAGACAATCTGAATTATATTGGAAGCTTGTAAGGGTGGTTGGGGTTGGTTTTATCAAGTGTTCATATGGTGAGCAATTTCTGTGGGGTTTTGCTCTTTAGAGTATTCTCTTAAATGGTGAGGAAATGGCTAGTAAGGAAGCTGAGACTGCATCATGAAAATTTTGGCATAAATTATTATACAAAATATTTATGGCACTTTCCATAAGAACAGCTTTGTAGCCATTTCATTTTGAATGTCACCATTTTTTAATAAGTAATATGACACAAAGATAAAAAATAAATATAAACCATCTTAAAAACAGTTTCTCCCCATACAATTTCATTATACGGTATCAGAACAGATACCACGACTGAGGTTCCCAGGTTGCTTTTCTGCTATTCTGCTCGAAAATTCAGTAAGTCACACATACACTGGAATCAGATGTTTTGAGGTAAGTTAACAGGTCTCTACTCAGGTGTGCTCAACAGCCACAGTTTTCAGGAATCTGCAACTCTTGCCTTATCCCACCCTTTAGATAGAAGTGCTGGAAGAAGGATGGGAAATACCAATGTAAACTGTCATTCAGGAGAAAATGTAGAACAAGATCAAAGCATGTTGTAACCCAAGTGGCCTTGAAAATTAGAAAATTTTTCAGTAATCTAAAACTACTCTAAATTCTAGTAATTCAGAAGTGAAGAGTTTGCTTAGCAGTTGTCATCAGCTGAGTCAAGCATGCATCTAGAACAAGGGTTATAGCACCAAGAAGGTTTAGTGTTGTATCAGTACTTGTGTAGAAATACATAGCATTTTTATGCCTGTATTTGTGTCTTGCAAAAATTCCACCAACATGCACTTAGTAATTCAGATCAATTGATTTAATTAAAGAAAAAGGAGAGAGAACTTTTACATTGAGACTCCTAACTGTCTTAGCAAGATTTATTGGTGTGTATGGCACTTGTTAAAATCAGTGGCTTTTGCAGGGGGCACTTTATATTACTTCATTTTGAAGAATTACATAATATAAAAATGTGTAAGCACTGTGATTTTTTACTTTGTATTCCCAAATTTATGTCAACACCTTACAAGTTGTTCTCAGCCCACTTAGACAAGGTTAGATCATCACATGGATGAAAGAACTGTTTGCTTTCTAGAATACAATGCCACTAATTAAAGTTGAAAGTGAATGGACTGAATTAGAATCAGCTCATCCATCAAAGACTGGCTACTGATTATTTACTGACAGTGCTTCATTTAGCTCTATTAATTACTCAGTGGCACTGTTATGTAAAGGTCACGCTTGAAAAATTAAGAAAGAATACATGGAAAATTATTGTATGTGCTCAGTGCTGGAGTCTGGAAATAGTAAATGTTAAATGGAGTGTTCATGTGAATAATCTATTAAATGTGTTTTTCTTATCAGTGTTTTAATTGCAATTGAGTAAACAGGACAGCAGCTTACAGATCTTGATAGGCTTCTTATGCAAGTTGTGATGGTCATGGCTATGACTCCATAGCAATAAAGGAAAGTGTGCCTTTCTATTACTGCTTTTAAAATAGTTTGGTGGGGCTTATTTGAGTTTTCTGCCCAAATTATACTGTTTTACAGGTATTGAAGGAGAAGAATTTTCTGAAGTTGTCTATATTGATTACCCACCTTTTCCTTATTCCTTTATCCTTTAAATAACAAACCTTTTACCAGCATTCACCAGATGTTATTCTGAAATTCCAGCTATGATACAGAGGTAGATATGTCTCCTGTGTTCCTACAGCAGAGCTGTAATATACATCTCATTCACTCACATTCAGTAACCTTTATCAGAGCTAAGCAAAAAGTTATGTATAGTTGAAATATGCTAATAACAAGAGTATTTAGTTCTAGTGATACTGGTTTTAAAACTGTATTTATCTTAATTTTTTCCAATAAATACACAATTTGAGTTAAAAAATGTATGTTCTCATTGGCAGTGTTTTAAATAATTAGCTGAATAGTATTTTTACCTTTTCAAAAGGAAAAGCATGAGTGGGTTTAGGCAGGGGGTATTGCTGTTTAAACTGGAACATGGCTTTGGGGGAGAGGTTCTGCAAAAACAGTAATGTAAGTGGTAGAGTCCAAATGCTCATTTCCTCTGACAGATCTGTGAGCTGTGGTTGTTTTGTAATAAAACCCTTTGTGTACAGAAGGCATGGCTCACATGGGAAAAGCTTATGTATTCATATATCTATATATTTAAAAAGGGAAAAAATGTAGTTTCTGAGTTGAAAAATATTGTTGAGTTCACATTCCAAAAAAGGGCTTGAAAAGATGAATATGTGTGTGCTTTTTTTGCTCAAGAAGGGACTTTAATTTTCTGCTCAATCTTGAGCTGTAAGTTTCCATCATAATCAGACATGTTATTAACTCAGATCTGTTTATAATCAAGGTCAAAGCTGAGAGCAGCATCACTGCCACTCTACTCAGAGACTGCAACTATTAAGAAATTAGTTTTGATTAGTTTGTTTTGTAATGGTGTTGTGTTTTGACATCGTGTTGGGTGATGTCAGGAAGGGCCTCTTTTTAAAGTCATCCTGAGAAAGCACGGCTATAAAACAGACTCAGGCAGGGAAATGGAAAACAGATGAAGTGGTTGTACGTCATCTAGGGACTATTTCTCGAGAGGATAGAAATGATCTAATCGCCTTTGATTTTATGAAACACTATGAGAAGGAATCTGCTTATATATTAGATTTTACATAAATGGTCATTTTAAAAAGTGGAAAGTTTGATGTTTGTAACTTAAATTGACACAGTGCAATTGCAAGAACCATCTGCCAACTATCCAGATACAACAGTTACCATTTCTACATTTTCTTCCCCCTTTTTTTATGTTTGTTTCATTTTGTTTTACTTCTCAGTTTTCCTCTTTTAATTTTAGTGCCCAGAAAGGTGATAGCACTCTAATATTATTTATGGAGACTGAGTGGGTATGAGCATCCCTTTGCTTTCTATGTACTGCTACTGCTTTTCTTCTGCCCTGTTGTTTTTCTGGTGCAAGACACCTATGTGTTGACTTGCAGTGGAGTTGCACTATTCCTGTGTACCTCAAGGTAGAACATATAAGCAGGTTATTTCAACATAAGAAATGCAGTTTCTAAGCTCTTTTAACTCTTGGGTTGGGCCAATGGGGTTTTATTTCTTTTTTTTTTTAAATTTTGTGAAGCCTAGCCATACATAAGCACATTATTTTAAGTAAAAAATATATCTGTGGCACTGCCTCACTCAGATCTCTTATATTTGATATGTTGAGAGTAGGGGCACACTTGACTATTACTGAACACCAAAAAGAAGAAAATCTTTAATACAACAAAAAGTGATTAGTGGTTAGGTGAAAATTTCCATTTGCAAATCTAATATTGCAGATATTAGTGACTGCAAGGCTGAATCTGCTGTCAATTGGATGGGAACCTGATATCTTGTTTGATACTCAGAATCTTGTTATGGTGATGTATCAGAAAACATGAGATAAATCCCCAGTTTTGTCAAGAGTGATCTTTGTTGCTTTAAATGTCCATGCTTGCCTTTTGAAGCAAGAATACTACCTCATTTTATCAGGGTGTTATGACGTACCATATTGATTGTGATGTATTATTGTTTATACCTAGGTAGACAGCACTTTGTGCAAGAAAGTAAAAAATATATTACCAGTTCAGATGGTAAATAGTCTGCCCAAAACACTTTCTGTAGTTTCAGTGGAAGAACTTACCCTATATTTTTTTCCTTGAAAACTTCCTTGCCGTTGGTACACTGAGGCTTTCTCTCAGGGCTGTTACACTAAGCTGCCTTGAGTTTTACTTCTCTTTATGTTGGTTCTGAACACAGTATGCGTTTACAAAAATTGCATTACTCTTTGATCTAGAATGAACTTTAGTTAACAATTCCCAGTATAAAACCAATTACAAAATGCTGTGTTAGGCAAGGAATATGTTCTGCTTTTCTATTTTGCCTGTATTTTATTATGGTTGTCCTTAAAATCTGTGTATATGCTCTTAATACATCCTTTCAGTTCCCCATAATATCGCTGAGGCTTTAACAGAGAACAATTGTATAGTTGCAGGACACGTAATAGGCTACTAGAAGAAATATTTACATCTGGCATGATCAAAGCTTTTGGAGTATATGAATGTGTATGTGGGAGGTCTAATTTTTAAGTGGGTGGATTCACAAAGACTGAAACACTTGCAGTACTTAACCCTTTTCCCTTTATGAAAATTCAATTCCTAGAAAAAAAAGCACGTAGTACCTGATTCTTATCTTTATTTTTCATTTCAATGAGTAGAATTAATTCTTCTGCTTGTAACTACTTGTTTTAAGTCATAGAGAATTTTTTGTATTTTAGCCCCTGTAGTTGCCTATTTAGTAAGATGCTTATCTCGCTTGTGATGTTTTTACACATTGGATCATATGCATGTTTCAGAATTTTAAAAAATTATATTTTTAACACAGTTTTGATAGTCTGTAGAACTGTTGTGAAAGGAGCTCTACTGTATTTTCAGTGTTCGGCAGTAGAGATGTCTCCAGGCAGTAGAGATGTCTCGATTTCTGCTGGTTTAGTTCCTGTGTCAATAATCAGCTGTGAGCTGCTTCTGTAAATCTGTCATTTGACACTTTTTTTATTCAGTTACTTTAAATAGTTAGTTATATTATGAAAGTCTATTAATACTCGGTCATTTAAATAATCTCTGTTAGCATTTTGTTTGCAAGGCTCTGATGGGGAAGTTTGGGATGAGAGCTGACCTGGGCTAACAGCTTGCTAAACGGGGAGGTCTCTCTCTCCCTTTGGCTTCTTTCCTTCCCCGTGCTGTCCTGTGATCTTCCCTCCCCCAGCTATACCAATTCTGACTACAGGGCAACCAGCTCAGCTTGCCAGCCAAGCAGGAGCACCCACACGCCAAGCTGTGTGCCAAATGCCTATTCGGCTGTTCTGAGCTTTAATTTACCTGGTGATTAGCAGAGTGCCTGAGCTGGCTACCAGGTAAGCATCAGGGGCCTATGGCCTGAGGGAGCTGTGGTAAATGGAGAGCCACCTGCCCTTTTTGCCCCTGGTGAACTTCCATTTTGCTCAGACCACTCTCTGAAGTCATACCATGAGTCATGAACACAGCATCGTGTGTAATATGTGGTTTCTTGAAAATCAGCCTTGCTTTTGCAAGCCAGTGATGATGTGAAGAGCAGTTCTTGTAAGCAGTTAAAACATCAGTGAAGACACATTTATTTTTAGAAGAGACACACCTTTTTGGGTATCTTAAAAGATTCTGTATTTGGTTACAGCATCCATGGCTGTTACTTTTAGAGCTAGGGGTCATCAAAGCAATAGAACATTTTCCCCTGTGAAAGCGTTTTTTACCTCTTAAATCCTGGGTATATATATACATAACTTTGCTTGCTGTTATTCATTTGTATTACTTCAGGACTCCAAGATATGCTACATCTCTTTTGTTGTCCTTGTGGCATCGGTAGTCCACAATCTAATCTTGAACTATTCTAGCATCAAATTTGAGTGAACTGGTTTTGTCAGTATGTTCTGTAAGTAACAGCAGCTAAGAAAGCAATTCAGAAACTCTGGAGCCATTCCTGACACTCTGCAGTAGTGGTATGGAATGGGCAGGTGCAAGTGAAAATTCTTCATCTGCCAGACTTGGATCTGTTGTTGAGTCTGTGTCAACACCTGAAGTACCAGGACACTGCTATGCTGCCTTCTGTAGCACAAAGCCAAGGGTATGCAGGCTCTTACCCAAATTTTTGAACCCTAAGTTTTAGCATTATCAAAGTGATGTTGCTTTGTTTTTTTCTGGTCTCAATGTCAGAACTGACACATGAGTTTGGTTGATCAGTTAAATGGTGTCTGCAGTTCACAGATGGGTGGTTGGCATCTTTTGGGTCAGTGCTGTGTTCAGTCTTCATGTTTTTACTGTGTGCTATGCTGCCTTTACATGTTTTTCCTGTATTTTTTCTCTTTTTTTCTTTGAAGAAAGAAACCAACAACAGCAACAAAAAAAACCCAGACTTGCCATTTCCTCTGTTGCAACTTGCAGGATTCTCTACAAGACTGCCATAATCTGTGACCACAAAACTGCCTTTTCCTCTGTGTCATGCTGTTGAAAAACTGCTAGCAAGCAAGTTCAGTCTAAGCAGGACCTCAGCATTACTTATTTTGCTACCTGTTGGTAGTTTTCAGCATGTTCATGTAATAACAGAATTAGAGGCCCAAGTCTATTTCTTGGTGCATTTCTCAGTAGTCCAGCATTCTCATTCACAAAGAGAGCATCACTGTATTTATACTTAAGGAGTCTAAATCTTAAAAAGGAAGGGAAGGCCCCCAGAAAATAGCAGTTGTATCTATAATCAGTCCTCCAAAGCAATAGTAAACTCAGTAGTGGGAAATACCATTTTTGGCTGTTAGCTCCCAGCATCCCTGAATTTGCTAAATATTCAAATATAAATAAAGTGACACAAGCAAGAGATCTTATATAAACACTGACGATTGTAGGCATTCATCCATAAAATTCTGAAGGATCATCAGAACTCAAAAGAGCTGGGTTTAAATGCTCTTGCATTTTATAAGCGTTCATAACCAAGATGTTTGCTTCAGGCTCAGAACACCAGACTCCATTTTAATCTCTGTTCTTCCAGCTCTGAGGATGGCTGGTATTTCTGATGTCCCTACTGCACCTGAATGAAACTGTTTTCTACCTGAGCCTAAGCAAATCAAAACAGAGAGGACAACCATCGTGCCCATTCTTTAGAGTATCAGACTGGTACCAAATGGGGCACAGCAGTAGAGAAAGCAAGGGTTTTTTAAAAAAAAAAACAAAAAAAAAACCCAAAAGAAAACAAACAAACAAACCCAAAGAAATTCCTGGAAGGAAATGTCAGAAAAAATGATACCTAAAAAAATCCATTGCCTGTAATAAATGTAGCACTGCACCATTGCAAGCTCTCCCTCGCAGACAAGGCTCAGGGATATCCTGATACGGTGATAATTCCTGACATGAAGAAAGCAGATTTGAACATTTGATTTTACTGTCTAGCAGAGACAAACTGTATATGTAACATTATTAGTGTCATGAAGAGATTGACTGCCTGCCTTCCTGTTGCTTGTTCAAGGAGATTTCCATTTACCCTCATCTAACTCCAGGATAAAGAAGGGACCATCTGTTCTTTCTCCTTCATTCCCTTCCTTATTATGGTCCTTTGTCCTCATGGTCTCAAAAACTAATTCATCCTCCCCAATGTCCTCGGTACATTGCCTGGTCTGTCAAACAACACATACCCATCTTTTCATTGGTCTGGTTTGCCCTTAGATGTTTCCTGCATTTCCATATTCGTTGGCATGCGTGTTTGCCGAATCCTGGTGTTTTACTGTGAGTTTCTTGTCTGTGCCAACGTAGTCCAGGAAACATGCAGCTGGCCTGAGGCCTCGGGACAGGTTACAGAACAGAGGTCTGTGCTGCAGCTCTGAAAGTGGGTTGTGAGGGATAGGTCTCAGCTGCACTGTTGTGCCTCTTTTATATCAGTAGTTGTTTTGCTTCATGAGAAGTGCTTAAGTACAGACACAAAAAGTAAGGTCTGCTTTCCATGTCTATATGGATTTTTATCAAATAGTTCTGATTCTGCTGTCTTAACTGCTTGCAAATTACATCCTTCAAGAATGGCATGTCCTTATGATACCATTATTTAGAAGACAGACCATTCAGGGAACATTTTTTCATTTGCTGGTGACTATGGACAAGGATGAATTTTGCCCAAATCCTTTTTACAGTAATAGGGATTTTACAGGGACTTGTTCATTAGCTCTTCCTCTTCCAGTGCTCTTCCCTCATCCCCTTAAAAAAAAAAAAAAAAAAAAAAGCATTAATGTTATGAGTGGTGAAACTCCTACCTGTGAACACAGTTGTTGGAGTTCTCCTGCAAATGAGACTTCTGGCATTTTTATATCCTCTATTATTGAGGGCAGCCTTAGGACCCACACAGTCAAAACAGCATCTGCCCAAATGAGAGCAGTGAGGAAATTTAAGGAAGAAATACACTGTGGATGATGGCTTTGTGTACAGTTCTGGCATGGTGCCAAAAACGGTATAACTATAGCTCTGTGATGATATTGTAAACAGTGTCTGCCTTTCCCTTCGCAAACGTCTTTTCTAAGCCTGTCTTTGTTCCTGATCTCTCTTACATGTGTGCGTATATATGTCTGTCTTATATATAAAGAGATTGCACACCAAATAATTATTCATTTTATATCCCAGCCCTTTAAAAACATATCATGTGTTGTAGGTTTTGAGTTCCAGTGAAAACATCAAATCAGATCTAAGGCATAGCTGTAGTTTTGTAAAAATAGTCACCATGTAATAGGATCAGGACTGTCTCTTGAGACATTTGTAACAGACATATTTTATATTTAAACCCAAATTAATAAATGTCACTACATGGGGAGGGAAAAAATGAAGCATCAGCATTTTCAATTGCTTCATGTATTATTTTGGAATTGAGGGAAGGCCCCAAGTGGCACAGAAGTAAACATTCATCTAACTTATTTGCTGTATAATTCGTCATTCTACATGTGTTTGTATAAATTCAGCATCTGTTTTCAAGAAATCATTTTTGTGCTGATTTTATTTGAAAATGTTTGTGGTCTTGCTCTGTATTCTTACACATATTTTCTCTTAACAGAGTTTGCACTTAGGATAGTGAATGCTCCAATGGCCTTAGATTTAGCATTTGGCATACTGTGTGAGCTGCTCCAGCGGTGGGGAGAGATCCATACTGGTGTGCTGATCCTGCTGGAATGGCTGCTGGGAGACAGCGACCTGAAAAGAGATTCGGAGACTTCAGCCCTGGTAATTTTAACAACCAGTTGCTATATCATGTTGGAAGCACTGCATTTCTGCAGTCTTGTGGTAGGAATAGAATGTAACATCTCATTTGATGAAGCCTGATGATCACTACTGCAGTATTAACTGATTTACAGTTTAAAAAAAAATGCACATGGATAATATTTAGAATAAAAATAGAGTTTGATACCTGTTTCCTGGCAATATCAGCATAAAATTAAAGAGATCAATAAGCAAACATTGAAATAAACCAAGAGTTACTTCACAAGTCATTGTTGACTGAAATATTTTGAGGCTGAAATGTATTATTGCAGATGATGGCTTGCCTTGAATTTAATCTGCTGCTGTGGGTGCCAGGCACATCTGGTGTTCAAGAAAAGTGCTCTCCCAACTGCTGGCTTTTCCAGAGTTGGCATTTAAATATTTGGTAACTTTATGCCATCTTACGTATGTTTGGTTCTGCACAGCACATGAAACAGCCTTGCTTACATCAGTTACTGTCTTCAGAAGGATTATTTCTGTAAAGAAGAACTTCGCCACGCTGGTTCTGTAAAGCATAATACTATATAATACGCTGTGCTCTTTTTGTCTTGAAAAGACTGTAAAAGTCAAAATAATGCTGGAAGGTAAACCAGAAGGAGCAGGACCAGCTACATCTTTGAGAAGTTTCTTGACAATTAATATGACCCATGAAATATATTATGGACCTTTTCTTAAGCCTATGGTTTAGGTATGCCTTTCTAAGTTTCACTGACTGATACAATTTTCCTTTTTCATTTAATCCACTCAAAAAGCACCATGATATAGCAAATTACCATACTGGTTACAGAGAGGTCTCTGTGAAATATAAGACTGTTTCAAGCACATGTTAAGGATTAGGACTACTATTTACTTCCACTGTTTCCCAAGACTTGTACCATAACTGCCTGATTTTTGAAGGTAAAATTTCTTTGACAAAGTAGTTCCCAAACCTTTAAAAAATGCATGTGAATTTTTACCTTCTTTTTAATATAAAGAAGCGGTTCTGTGGCACCTGTTTCTGTATATATCCTCTTTTGTATCTTTTATGTTTTTCTCATTATTATGAAACAACAAGTCATTTCCTAATCACTGTTGGTTTTCTTTTTGTTAAGGAAGAAGATGATTATCTGTTTGATAAAGGAGAAGTGAATTTTTGGGCAGAGAAGTTGACTCATGCTAGACAACTGAGTAAGCACCTTTTACAGCTCATATCAATGACTCATCTAACGTTACCACATCACGGAGAACTGAAGCGACTATCAATAACAGCACTGGACCAAGCCCAGCTCGTTGAACACCACCTTCAAGCACTGCCTCCAGCTCCAGAATTTTCCAAAACTGCAGAATTCACAAGATTGGCTATTCAAAATGAGAGAATATTGCTCTGTCTTAAAATACTGAATCTGCTGAAGTCTGATGATACTTGCAAAAATGAAAATCTGGAAAACTATGTTACTAAAAGTTCATCCTCAGGGAACATGGACACATTCTCTCAGGGAGACTGAATCCCAGCAATGTTCAAGGAATCAGGATGACTCCAGTAAATCTGCAACAAACTGTTCAGTATTCAGGCAAAACCTACATTTTTATATATTAGTCCATGGATTCATTTTTTTTACCAGATGTGCTGTGGGAGGCTGTTCCTTTTAAATGCATTTGCTAATTTCATTCAGCTGACCATTGTTTATTGCAACCACTGTAGGAAGTAAAGCAGGTAAACCTAATATTTTCCATTCATCCAGGTGCAGGCCACCTGTAGTCCTATTTTATCCCATATTTTACCTCCTGTATCTTAGTACCAAGAAAAAGTGTATTATTTTAGTCTCCTTACAAAATGTAGCATGTTAATTATTAAATTAATATGCTATTTTTATTTTTAAGTGTTTCATAAAGAAACTTTTTGAAAGTGACTTTTTTGTTCATGGCAATTTTTAGAGTATATTTCAAATTTTACTGTATTTTCCTCTGGAGGAAGGCAAGGATTTTCACTTTGGTAGTAACCTTGTTTCACACATGGAAACAGCATTAGTTAGAGTTCTGCATGCCTCTTTTTTCCTTTAAATCAAATAATTACGTTCATAAAATGGCTCTAAAATGAAGACTACTGTGTTCAAAACAAAGCAGCTGTTCCGTTGCAAACAAAACAGTTTCATCTTTACTTCAAAACCCCTTGTTCTGCAAGCAGGCCTGGAAAGGAAGGTCCTGCTGAGTAGTGTGAGGCCCCTCTGAAGCTACCAGAGGTGTTTCTGTGCTCCAGCCCTTGCTTTTGAGAGATGCTCTCACCGGCACTCAGGTGGGGTGGCTTTGGGGACTGTTCTGAGTGCTTCATGGTGATGCTGTGTCTGAAACACAAACATGCTTGTTGTGTGTTGAAATGTATTTTTCTGGGAACTGAAACTGGGTTTCAGTATGAAAACGAGACATCGAAAATAAATATTGATCTGAAAAGGTTGCGTTACCTTTCTGTAGCCAAGGGCTGTGACCGGCTGTCGCACGGCCAGGCCTCCCAAAATATGGATATGCGTCCCTGTACGCCGTCATTTCGGTCTCCTAGGAAGAAGAACATGTCCAGTGAACGACTGTTTCCTTTCAGCCTCCTCACCTAATGGTGTGTGAGCAGAGTTTGGCCGTAAATGCCGATCACACGCAGGTAAGGGGTGAGTGTTGCGGCTCAAGGCCCGCAGGTGGCGCCGCGGCACCGCTGTTCGCGGGACGGGCCCGTTCCCTGAGAGCGGGGCCGGGCTCAGCCTGGGCAGGGTCGGGTTCCCTCAGTGCCGGCATCGGGCTCAGCCCGGGTAGGCTCAGCTTGGGCCGGCGCCGCTCGCAGTGGCTGCGTGCTGCGGTGCCCGATAGCCGATTGCTGCCCTCTCCTTGAGTTTAAATAGAATCTGCTGTAAATCGAGCTAAGCTGCTGACTTGGATCTAATGGACACCTGAACACTGCACAAAACAAAGTCACTACTGAAAAAAAGATAACAAGAAGTGGCTGTAAGTTTTCAGGATTTGGGGTTACTTTTATAAGTAATATATGATGAAACTTGAGGCTTCAATAGGCAAAAGGGAAATGCTGGAATCTGAAATGATGTTTCACAGAATGCCCACTACCCAGCTTAATAGGCCACGGTGCAAGTTAGGCTAAAAATGAATTCGTTTGCATCTGGTTTGAGCTCCTGGGGAAGGAACAGCCCAGATTATGTCTGGAAGCCACTCTTAAAAATATAGGCAAGACCTGTACAATTAATTAACAGCTAGCTGCTGGTTTTGCCACATCTTTCCATAATTTCTGAACTAGTGTGGCAACAGCTTTTAATAGTAAGAGACAAAACCAACTTTGTATGTATCAGTTGCGTAACCTCGCTCATGTCAGTGGGTAGCACAAGACTATCTAGTAACATTGGCTTTTTAATTTTTTTTAACGGGGTAGAATTAAAAATGCATCTACATATGTATTTAATACTGGCAAATGAGTAAATACAGAGAGGTAACAGCATAGTAGTACACCCAAAGTGACCATAAAACTTAAGTAATTTGGTGAAGCCTTGACGGCTTGGTTAATCAGTAACCAAACAGCTCAAAAACTCGGTCTTCCTTATCGTGGTGTTAAGATGCAACTGGAACCTCTGTCATCCCACCTCCATTTATAGAGAGCAAATAAGAATTATATCAGCGCGCATACATTTCACCACACGGTGCTAGTGGCTTGCGTTACTGTGTAACTAGTCTATGAAGAACCTTTAAACCCTGTGCAGCGATTGCAGGAGAGGGTTAGCAAAGCGTGATGCCAGAGCGCTTATCGGTCGTGTATTTGATCAAAGTCAGTTTATCAAAGTATTCCTCCCAATGGCGATGACACATTGATCCGTGCATGACTGTCATCGTAAACTGTACTCTCGGTTGGCTGGCGGGCAGGATCTGCTCCGAGGTGATGTTTCGCTGGCAGAGATGTGTGGGAGGGTCAGTGCGCAGGCAGCTCCGACCGGCCCAGGAGGAGGTTATGGGAAGGGATGCACGTTATCCCGCCCGTCCGCGGCATTCCCGCGCCCCGGAGGCTCCCCGGGTGCGGGGCAGGGCCTGTTGCCGGGTCAGGAGCCGTCGCCCCCCGGCAGAACGGGAGGAGGGGAAGAGGCAG